TAAACCATATGGAAATCATGTAAATCGATACATAAATCACGTAAAACACGCAAAAATAGATATAGCAATGAACATCACTAAAAACAATAGTTATAGAAAAAACAGACGCTATATCATACTTAAGAGAAAACCTGATTCAATAGAGTAAGGTGGGAATAGCACGCAAAGCAATATATATACGTTAAATAATGTACAAAACACAAAAATGATAATGAACGTGAAGAAACCTGAAACGATATAAACACTTGAAAAATTACCTAGATATAGAAAAATTTCGAAACGACATGCAAGATGCACCAACAGATGGTAGACACACACATAAACTTTTTCTATACCTAATCATTTTGACTATTACCATCATTTAATAATCAACTAATCTCGCCAATTGGTTATATCTAATCAGTTTTGTAATCATCTAAATAATCAAGCTAAATCCTGATTAGATGAAGCCTACTCATTCAGTTCTACTATCTCAGTAGCTTTTGAATATTCAGGCAAATCATTATTGCCTGATCTTGTTCTTTTCTTCTTTCTAGCTTTACATAGCCCATCCAATGCCATCAACTTTTATAAAGCCAATTTATTTCTTTTGATATACAACATTATGCTTACTAATATTACTACCAAGCATAAGGTTATCATCACTGAGTTAGATAATTTCCAATTATCTAACTTTTGTTTTCCAGCTGTAGCTCGTAATTGATCTACATGCTGCTGGAAATCCTTAAGACTGAACCTAGACTTTCTAAGAGGTAAATGTTTAATGTCCTCTAATATATCTGTTAGTCCTTTAATACCTGTCTCTATATCTATACTCTGAATTAAATGTAATTCGTTTTTAGTTAGTAGTTCTTGTAATTCTGGAATCCATATATTTAGTGTAGTCCCTATGTATTTAGTTTCACTTCTAAAGTTTGACGGTAAGGTGATACCTTGACCGTGAGCTGAACAATTTCTAGCTAATTTTAAATAACCACTATTGTTTAACTTAATTACTCTAATATGGTAATCAAATTGATGTACGTTTGACTTTGGACATACAACTGATAAAGTAAGTTCATCTTTAACGTTAAATAACCAAGTTCCTGGAGTTCTAGTTTTATAAAAATAGAATGGTTTAGGAATAATTATTCTTTTCTCACATAGTTCACATATTCTATTATTAATTCCTGTGAATATCACATAATTACAAGTTACAATAGGTACTGAATAAATACCTGAATTAGGATCACAAACTCTGATAGATCCATCTATGCAATTTCAAATATCCTCTTCTGTCATTTCAACATATATATGTTGATCACTCGAGAGAGCAATGTATGGTTTACCATTTTCTATAGTTAAAGCTAGTGAACGATTTATTGTCATTGATAAGGATATAATCTTATATAGTTTAAATATTCTGTCGGTTGCTTTTAATATTATTTCTATAAACATTCTTAAAGACTCTTTAACAACAGCTGTCTTTACATCAGCCCATGTATAGTACACATAAATTTGGTCACAATGAGTAAGTATTACAAACTGCAAGTTGGAGGTAATCTCCTTTCAATTTCGTCTAACACTCTTTCTAGTTTACTCAGTGGTAAAAAGTAAGACCTTAACTTTTTATCTGCAGCTACATACAATACTTGTATTAACTTAGCTAACTCTGTCCTGCTGCTTCCTATGGTAAAAGATAACTGTTATAGATTGTTTTGAATCTTAGTGTTAAAAACTAGCATTTCCATTCCTGCTTTATGTAACTCAGTTTGTCTTACTCTAGTGTGTATTAATGCGTTATTAATGTTTACTAAAGCTTTAGATACCTTTCTAATTTCTTGGTCATGTAATTCAATCGTCTGATTTAATGAATTCATTATAGTTGCTTGTTCTCCTATTAGATGAATGATTTCCTTAAAAAACCTGTCTCTGCTGATCTACCTTTTCATTTAAGTCTTGTAAGTCGTCAGTGGTTGCTGTTCCAAATAGAAATGTTAGAATACTTCCACCTGCATTTATTAAACCTCGTCTCCGTCTAGTTCTGTCGGATATAGATACGCTATCCTTAATAATTTTTAATTCTAGTAATAATTCACCTATCTCGTCTTAATATTGTCTAATTAAGGTCTTGTAATTTTCAATTAGTCCTTCCTGTAATATCCTAGCTAACTGTAAGATAGCTGTCCCTCGATTTCTCATGTGATATAATGTCACATTCGCTGAACCTTCTTCACTAAAATTGACATGTTTTTTCATTCAAGATTTCTCAAACAATACCAACTCTTCTTGTAATCTTATCAGTAACCTAACATACTGTGGAAATGGTATATCTTCCACAATTATCCTTTTATCACCAGATACCTTTGTTGCATATCTGCTTGTTTGTTAATTTCCCATATAATTTCTTCCCGAGGAACTTCAGCGATACAAGTCTTTTCTTAAATAAAACCAGTTTATTCTTTCTCAAT